TGTGGTGGACTTGGACGGTTTGGGTCGGTGTTGGGCTTGGGCCCATCCACTGTATTTTTTTGCTGCAAATTATTTGCAAAGTTCTTGGCCAAACTGAGTTAGTGTTGGACAAAGTTTAGATTCATTTCGCGTGACCTTCACCAAACACAATGTATCTAGACATGTTTACTCCACTTGAACATTTTGGACGATATCAAGTAGAGTAGTGGTTTGTTAACATTTTAAAATTGTCTGACCGTCTTGATGCCCTTTACAGCAGTGGTCGATAGGTTGTTACCATTTTTAAGTGGCAACTGACTCATGGTTTCTCTTGTCTTAGTTGAAACTCTTATGAATATTTCTTTAGTTTTAGCAAACACACAGAACATACATATGCATCTGTACTTTCTACTCATAGTCTCACATCATAGATAGTGATACGCAAATTGTAAAAGACTAGTTTTTCCAGCCATATCTCTGCCCAGATTTTTCTTCGAGCTATCTCCAAAAATAATATAGTTTAATGTTAAAAAACAAATATGAGAAAATCAAGCATCGTCAACTAGTGAAAGACTAAAATTTTCCACAGACAGTGTCAAGTTGACATGCAAATTGTCCTAGACCAACGACCTCATGAACCGTCTTTCTACTTGAACTTCGATTACCTGCGAAATACGTTGGAGGGGTGTCAGTAGTAAAGCTTATAATACTCAAGTTAGATCTCGCTCGTGAATTCAATAAAGCTGGAATACAACATGTAATATGTGTTAATTCATAAAAGAACCAAATAACCTAACTTTACAAGAAGGTTGTCTTCCTGTCCAAGTAACCTCATTACTAGCAAAAAGATCTCATGTATCTCGTTTTTGTTAGTATGTATACTTAAAGCTTGACCTTTTGGGTAATAAATACTAATTTTTTGTTGAATGAGAATCAAGTTTAATTAAATTGTCTTGTGTTATGATGTTTTACTTTTGACATACTGGTTACTTGTAAAATAGAAATAATATAGTTCACAACCTAAATGAAAATGAATAACCCATCGTGAACTGTTGTAGTTTCAACTGTATAGTCTGTCTTGACTGATTGGTTACACTAGTACTGTGTGTATTGAATGGAACCTAGTGAGGATAAGTTTATTTTGTCCTGATCGATAAATAAATTAGACCTCGATTAATTACAACCTACTCTTAACTCGTAAGATATAAACAGACAAGTGCATGAAGTAGATGCTACTTTGATTTACTAAAAAGTGAGACTCATTTTGTTGAGTCAATAGACTAATGTGTTTTGGTTCATGATGCTCTGTGTATGGTGTGTTGTTCTTATATTTATAGTCAACGCGTACGATAATCTGATGATGTCCCCGGAATGAGCTCAAGAAGGATTATTATGTAAAACCCTGCATGTGGATTAAGTTTTAAAATAATAATAAAACATTGAGTGGTACTAGTCAGTACAAGAAGTCGGTTAAATTTATTATCGGTAAATAATTAATTAAAAAATATTATATTTAAACGCATGGAGATAAAACAAATTAATAATTAGTATCGGAGTTTCAAACGTAATGTGAGAGCCAAATGGGGAGACCAGTGGTTTTTCTTTAGTGGATCGAAGGATCGTTAAAGTATGAGCGTGGTGTGCTTGGCCAATAGTTAGGCCCATACTTGGAAAGCCCATATTTGACATCTTTTTAGAGTCCTTGTTGTACTCTATAAATGCACATCTTCTCTTGGAATTTTTCATCACCATACGTGAGAGAACTTTGTAAGTCGCCCACCAAAACGAGCAAAGTCGTGTAAAGTCATACAACAGAAGTCCCGAGGCAACCCCGAGAAGAAATTACCAATGCTAAAAGTGATTTGGCTGGTCATTTAAGATTTCAATTAAAAATCTAATTGATTCAATTTATGCTTTTCACTGTCTTCCAATAAATATGAACTATTGAATTTGTAGATCAAAAACCCAGTAACTTTCTTTAAAAATCACTAGTGACATATTGCAAATGGAGCAGTTGAAATTAAAACCAGAAACACTTTCTCCCCTTACTTCAAAATTGAACTTCCATATGTCATCATGTTGACAAGGTCACACAATCAAATGTCCCAAGAATAGGCAGATTTTGTATCGGTCACGAGAGGATTTGGTACATTACATAGTAGAGCAGTTGATCGTCCCTCCTAACGAGCTCAATATAAATCCTGCAACGCTGAATAAA